GACCCCAACACCTTACAACCTTGTCACTTGGCTGACTGTAATATACTGACTCATTACTAATCTCCTATCTTCAACCGTTCTGCATTCCGTGATTCATCATACTCGTAATCACCAACCGCCGTCCGCTTATGTTATATACTGTGTGTATAACATATTATATGAATAGATAAATGCTTGACTCATTACGCATGTTGTATTTAATTTCAATTTCAATAAATAACTACAAATATTTTTTAATTTGAAATAACAACAGGAGGCGTGGCGTGTCAAAAATGTATATGTTTATAACGACCTATACTACGATGTAAATCTGAAGAAAGAACCATTTCCTATTCAAAATTCACGAGAAAATTCAGGAAATAGTAATTTACGTAACAAGTCCGGAGAATACTGTTTTATTGGACGAGTAGACAAAATTCTAGGACGAGCCGTATAGGCGAGTCCTGGAAGTCTGCGAGTCCAAAAAAACTGTTTTTCGACGTGTTGCGTACACTATTTTTCCGTCAATCATGTAGAATCACAAACCAATGAGACACATTTCCATATTATATTTCTTTGTAGAATACAATTTTTTCTTTATTAATTCTCATTTGTATCAAATACTGAAATTTGAACAGAATACCTATACCAAGGACAGATCCTCGTCTCCTCTCACTCTAAAGTGTTTGTGAAACAGTTATATAAACTGCTCCACATTTGAAGTGAGACAAGCGAACATTTTGTTTGTTTTCGAACCGTGATAACTTTGGATGAGATCAACCGATCTTTGATTAGTTTTGAGATTGTGATTGCCCAGTTGATTGGCTATAACATATTTTTTTTACGTTTCTCCACCATCTCGGAATTATGACCTACAGGATGATATCTGAAAGTGTGATACTTTCCGAAAAGTTTGAGGTCGCCCCGTTAGCAGGATAATTTTTTTTAAATTTTTCTGACGGCAAAAACATGAAGCCTAATGTGTTTCCTCGAAATGGTTTCGGATTCATCAAGATCCATACAGGATGTTTTGAGATATGCAATTTTGAACAACATAATGGCTATTCGAATTTTTTGAATACCTCAAATTCATTGGTTAACCCCTCGGTATATTATGTTGTCTGGGAAATCAGAAATTGTCAAACATTTGATTATTGTAATAAAATATGCCACGACTAACTAATGAACAATTACAAATGGTTCTCAGAATGAGAGATGGTGGTTTGAATGTTGAAGACATTGGACAGTATTTCGATACATCAAGAGCTTCAATATACAGGGCAATCCGTCGTCACGATCGAACAGGAGATCCTAATTATCGTCACGGAGGTGGACGACAACGGAGATAGAAATGATAATTTCTTAGTTACTTCGGTACGTCGTCTTCGAACACAGACTGCTGGACAACTGAACTGTGCACTAAGAAATGCAACAGGAGTTGTTGTCTCAGATGAGACAATCAGAAGAAGGCTTCATGAGCGCAATCTGAGAGCGAGAAGGAGGGCATCTTGTACTTTGTTAAAGCTGAACCACAGGATAGCTCGAAGACTTTCGGCTCAGAACCATTTGAACTGGGGAATAGCTGATTGGAGGAGATGTTTATTCGTTGATGAGAGTAGGTGTAATATGTTCAGATCAGATGGAAGGATTTTAGTATGGCGAGAACGGGGTGAGAGGTTTCTGGAGGAAAACATGGAGGCGCGGGTGACATTTGGGGGTGGGGGTGTTACGATATGGGGCGGTATCATGATGAATCATCGCACCACGTTGGTTATTTTGAGGGAAAGTATGAATGCTGTTCGATATCGTGACATGTGTATAAGAGATGTTGTTATACCAGTTGCTCAAAACTTTGGAGACAATTTCGTACTGGTCGATGATAATGCACGACCACATCTTGCGAGAATTGTAACCGAAGTTCTGAGACAACATAATATTGAAAGAATGGAATGGCCACCCGTATCTCCAGACATGAACCCAATAGAACATGTATGGGCTAGGTTAAAATTATGTTTGAAGAGAAGAGAAGGTGAAATGATGAATATTCAACAACTGGAAGATGCGATAGTGGAAGAATGGACAGCTATTCCCCAAGATTTCATTGATGGCTTGATAACAAGTATGCCGAGAAGAGTTAGGGCTCTCGCAGCGGCCAGGGGTGGTGTAACAAAATATTGATAATCGACCACATCTGCCGTTGTTAATTTTTCTTTATTAAAAAAATATTGTGTTACGTATTATCTGTATTCTCTTCGTGGTATATGTTCATTAATTCTCATTCTCTATATCCACTGAAAAAAAACATCCTAGCTTTGACAATTTTATTCATAAAATAACCACACTCCACATTCACTTCATTCCTCCCTGCGAACTAACCCTGAAGGTTTTTCGTTCAATCACGAAATCACTTTTTCTAATCCATGATATTGCATATCTCAAAACATCCTGTATGGATCTTGATGAATCCGAAACCATTTCGAGGAAACACATTAGGGTTCATGTTTTTGCCGTCAGAAAAATTTAAAAAAAATTATCCTGCTAACGGGGCGACCTCAAACTTTTCGGAAATTATCACACTTTCAGATATCATCCTGTAGGTCATAATTCTGAAATGGTGGAGAAACGTAAAAAAAATATGTTATAGCCAATCAACTGGGCAATCACAATCTCAAAACTAATCAAAGATCGGTTGATCTCATCCAAAGTTATCACGGTTCGAAAACAAACAAAATGTTCGCTTGTCTCACTTCAAATGTGGAGCAGTTTAGTTCCATCTTTATTCATTTCTAGGGATAAACACTAGATTTTTGACATTTGCTGTTTTTTAGGTTATATTAAGGTCATTGGCGTATCATACGTAATTTCCTTATGGAATTCCTGATTCAACTATACCAAAATATAGATAAACAATCCTCTAGTTTTGAAGTTTACTATACTCCAGCATAATTTTTGAGAGGTTGCTAAGGGAACATATGAATTGTACTGAAAGCTCCATATATTTCACCAAAAGAGACTGTCCTTAGACTGTATACAAGGGTTGACTGAATTGACTGAATGAATTCTGATTTCAAACTGAGCAGTAGTTTATCTATGAGCTGAATGAGCTGAGCCTTATGATTGAGAAATGGTGAAAACCTCGATGTGAATATCTAAACTACTGTACTCATGTAATGTGTGCTAAATATATTTTCGGAAATCCAACTCGAAGAAGAATTTATGGAGTGACTAATATCAACTATGTATAAAACTTCGTCTAGGACGAAAAGTAGGCTGATAAAAAGTAATACGTAAAATGTGCAGGGAAATAAAGAATAGAATATACTTCACCCCCATGTTATACATATGATTCTTTCCTCCCTTAAATAAAAAGTTATTTTTAAATAATTTATTGATGAAAGTAAACAAGTAGGTATTCGCAGTATAACTGATAGGCACGTTATTTTCACTCTTGCATCCTACATATTTTCACTGTGGGAAGTTAAGCAAGCCAACGTTGGTTTAGTTCATTGTGCCAGTATATCACCAGAGTAATAATTATATAAACTAATGTCTTTCGCCATATTGGATCCGTCATCTTGGATTTTCTAATTTTGACGAAACAATCATTATCTCTTACCCCGAAAACCCCTAGATATCAATTTTGAATAAAATCGGATCTTCATCACGAAACTTGTTCGCCATATGATCTTCCTCAACAATTAAATACCCTGTACATACATATTATTAAAATGTTGAATGATTTTCTGTAGCGCCCATGGATGTGACGTGTCAGCAATGTCAGGAATGCCAGTAGACAAAACTTAAGTCTCTAGATCATTGAAAAAGAAGCTATGAAGTCAACAACTTATGTACTTTTAGTGAACAGAAAAGTAACCTATCTGGAACAAAATAGAAACAAACGAAAAAAACATTATTATACAAAAATTATCATATTCCTAATTCTCAATTCAAAAATACAGTTACATGAGTACTTATGAGATTTGAGTATATGAAACACAAGAAAGAATAGTTAAAGTGAACAACAAAAATAAAGAACAAATAAAAAAATCTAACGTAAGAATCAGACTGTTATAACAGAGGTTTATGAAAAATTGAATGTGACCTGAATCAGACAAAGTATCGTCCTTTTTTGGTTCATACATATCATTATTACCTATTCGTACATTTATTACTTATTGTAATTGTATGTGAAATTAATTTAAACAGAGCGTGCGGAAATTTCATTTAATTCAAGAGAGTATGTGAATAATGATTTATAATAATATATGTAATCATCATAATAAATAAGTGTCAAAAAATTGTTTGTTCAGTGGATCATGGAACGTTTCAGTAAATCAGTTCTTCAATATGCAAATCAGGAATCCTACTGCAAATTCAGTAGAACTCGCAATCCTGCAGCAGACAGAAAGTGTTTGCTGACGAAAAGTTAGTGTCTGCGGATGAAAAGTACTTGCTTTCGGTAATAGTCGGTTTTTCGTTCGGAAATTAGAACGTAAAATGTGATTTTCTGAAGAAGTCGACGAAAAAATAATATTATTTGAAATAATTTCTAAAAGAAATTCTGATTGGCAATGAATACAAATTTTTGCATGTTTTATCAGAAACTGATCGAAGTAATTCGTCTATTTGCTATTTTATTAGGCTGCTTGACGTCATTCCGATCAATGACGTCATAGTGTCCTCATATTGAAAATGTCTCCTGCGAATTCTGCGCTGTCACTTTGAAAACAAATGTCCAATTGTCATATGTCATTAAAAAGGGAATTTTTCGCTCTAACGAATGGAAATATCTACAGGGTTCCAACCTAGGGCTGTGTCAAGTCTGTGGTTCGACCAGGCACATACGTTCAGTATGAAGTCTGACCATCAGTCTGACCAACCAGCTGTTTGGGAATATCGGTCACGTTTCAAACCTGCTCACAATGCCCACACAGTTACCACATCAACTTCTGGATGGGAGTCAAGTCAGCCATTGACCATTCTGGTATCACCACTGTGGTCAGACGGATGACTTGACACAGCCTAGGTCAATTTCCAAATGTCGAAAGTCTATATAACATGGAAAACAAACTTCTTTACTTCTTCAATAAGTATTATAAAAAATCAAGGAACTCTACTTGAACATACAAATGTAATAAGAATACTGCTTAATCAAGTATACATTGATAGACTCAGGGCCGATTGCATAAAGCTCTCTGTTTGTTAACTCGACGAGGAATCAACTTTCCAAACTCACCAGCTATAAGGGGCATATGTTGCCATGGGTATTCTATAGAATGAAGAGATTTTGTATTTCGTGTAAAATTTTTTTATTATAAATCGCAAAGCGCTTTCGGCTAAAAAGCCATCATCAGTGCTATACCTGCAAGTAAGTAACATTTATGAAATTTCAAAACAAATCTAAAAAAGTAGATTACTTACTCGTCAAGTATTTACAAAAAGGTCCAAAAATTAGTGATCACAGACATCATTATGGTACAAACGGGATTATGAACAGACATACATTTAACAAAAATGTTCCCTAAAGGGTTATTGTAAAATTTTTCAAAAATACATGTTGAGATTGTTTTGTTCAAGTCCAGAAATAGCACGAGGGACCTTAACCTTATTTATTCTGGAGAATGTTTGATAATTTTAACCTTAGTAAAATGTTGACAATGACTGAGTGTCAATGTCTATGACTTAGTTGACATGTGTATGAAGTAGACAAGTGACATAATGAAAAAAGCGCTCGGAAAAGAATTGACAAGGTGAGCAGAAAAGCTGTCTGAAAATTTTGAAACATTCTGAAAAGTAAAATAAGATGAAATGGACTTCAATCCAGGCCAAAGAGTAAACCTTTTTAAGTAAAATTGAGAGAAAAGAGTTTCCAATCAAGACTTAAGAGTCCTAGTGTCCAAACTGGAAGTCCAAGTTTGGACAATAGGACTCTTAAGTCTTGATTGGAAACTCTTTTCTCTCAATTTTACTAAAAAAGGTTTACTCTTTGGCCTGGATTGAAGTCCATTTCATCTTATTTTACTTTTCAGAATGTTTCAAAATTTTCAGACAGCTTTTCTGCTCACCTTGTCAATTCTTTTCCGAGCGCTTTTTTCATTATGTCACTTGTCTACTTCATACACATGTCAACTAAGTCATAGACATTGACACTCAGTCATTGTCAACATTTCACTAAGGTTAAAATTATCAAACATTCTCCAGAATAAATAAGGTTAAGGTCCCTCGTGCTATTTCTGGACTTGAACAAAACAATCTCAACATGTATTTTTGAAAAATTTTACAATAACCCTTTAGGGAACATTTTTGTTAAATGTATGTCTGTTCATAATCCCGTTTGTACCATAATGATGTCTGTGATCACTAATTTTTGGCCCTTTTTGTAAATACTTGACGAGTAAGTAATCTACCTTTTTAGATTTGTTTTGAAATTTCATAAATGTTACTTACTTGCAGGTATAGCACTGATGATGGCTTTTTAGCCGAAAGCACTTTGCGATTTATAATAAAAAAATTTTACACGAAATACAAAATCTCTTCATTCTATTGATCAGTTACGTGTATGCAGCTAGTAAAAATCTTCACCATGGGTATTCTAAACAAATCAAATACACAATCGTCTGTCAGATGCTTTATCCAAACGGCCCAAACATTGTCAACTGAAAATCACCTATTCAGAATGATTTGTATTTCTTGGAAACTCTTTCCCTTGGTCTCTGGCACTACAAATATAATGAACACTAGAGCTATTCCACAAAACCCAGCAAACAACCAAAATGTACCACCATTCCCTAGATAGTCGTTGAGATCGTTAAAAAATTTAGTCACAATGAAAGACACTAGCCACCCAGAGAAACCAGTGACAGTTGCAAGGAGGAACTTCACGTTGGACGGCAGAACTTCGGACGTAATCGTGAATGGAAGAGGTCCGAAACCAATGTTGAAAGTGATCGTGAAAACCACCAAGCACACGATAGGCAACCAAGAAAAGCTGTCCACGGATACATCTGTCTCGGTTTGCAGGTAAAAGTAGAGTCCCAATATACTCTCCGAGATTATCAAACCTGTTGCAGAGACTATCAGTAGGAACCTCCTTCCTTTTCGATCCACCAGAAATGGCCCCCCAAAACTCGCAAGGAATAAAACAACTCCGACTATAATGGAGGAAACTTCTGAAGGTACGTTGGTACCCGCAGCTCTGAAAATGGTCTCCGTGTAAGCCAAAATGGCGCCCAAACCGGACAACTGCTGGAAGCAGCTGAGACCGAACGCCACAATGAACCCCTTGACCACATATTTCTTCTTTAGCGTACTCCACACATCCCCCGTTTTATTCTTCATCTTCTCGTTCTTAATCTCGTCGATCTCGTTCTTCGCATCGTAATTCAACCGTCCTCTTCTCAACTTGTTCAGCGTCACTTCGGCTCTGTGATCGTCCCTGCCTACATAGTAATACGGGCTTTCCGGTGCCAAGGAAGCGAAAGAGAGCAGGAACAGTATGGGGAATATGCCAGTGATTAAATTGAACCAAAGAATCGAGAGGTAAGGCCCTAGGATGTATGGAAAGAGATCTCCAAAGCTGGCGAAGGTGCTGTATGAGACCAGCAACATGCCTCTGTAGGAATCTTCGGATATCTCGGCTACATACATGGGCAGAATGATGTAGACAGAGGAGAGCGAGACTCCTCCTAGGAATCTTCCTAAATAGTACCAATAAATATTATTCGCGAAGGCGAACATCAAATAGGCTGCGACGTGAGGTAGAGCTAACATTAGTAATACTGGTTTTCTTCCAATTCTATCTGCGAGGAAGGTAAATGGTAGGATGCCAACCATGGCTCCTATGTATTGAAGAGAGCCGATCCATGATTCTTCGTCTTTTGTGATTGGTGTTCCCAATGGGTTGATGTAAGTATCATTGGAATATAACTTGGGTAGGACAGGTGAGGACCAAGTGAGAGTTGTGTCGCCGGTCAACGCTAGAAGATTGCCTGTAAATCAGAAAAAATCTATCGTTTATTGACCACAAAGGCTAGATCTTAAATTTGTTGTGGGGTTCTGAGTTATTCATCTAGCTGCCATTTTCATCAAATTGTCTATCACCAAACTGCAATTTTGTTCAAGCGTATTTCATTTATTTTTTATGAATGCGGAAGCGATATAGGTACTGGCTATTTCATGGAAAAATATGAACTTAAACACTTCGTTTCGAGTTTTTTAAAACAGGTAATTTCAGAAACATGACATGCTCTAGAGTGGCTATAAGGGCCATTACATGCTGAAGGCCATAAACGCATTTCACGCACGTGATACATACAAAATTTTATGCACTAGTGGTTCATTTCCTGACTCAAAAGTGATGACTATAGATTTCGATAAACTGATATTCCCCCGAATTTGATTTGTTACGTATAAATTCAGTAATCAAGAGAAGCGTAATGTTCATGGATGATTTACATATGAAAATTATCGTACGAATATTGCAATTATCGTAATAGTGAAACTCTTTGATCTCTAGAAGAGATTCATTTTTCAGAATTTTACAATATGCATACCCAGTATATATACCTAACTAATTTTGACGTTGTCAATCAAGCTGATGGTTGTTGTCTATAGCAACGAGCTGAATTGTCATTCTTTGACTGAAAAGTAAAACTTAGTGATAATAATAATAGCGAGATATGGAATCGAACAAAGAAGGAGTTTATGATATACTGCTAGATATATGTACTAGAATCTATAAAAATGATCATAGGTTTGTAGCAGTTCTATATAGAAATTCTATATTATATTATAGAGAACAACTGTTTGAGTTGATTGATGATTTATTTATTTAACAAGTTGTCTAGCTATTGTCATCTACCAATATACTCTGTGATCATAATCACAGTTAATACAATTAACTTTACTACATAGTTCTCCTCCAAGAAATTTGATAATTTCTGACACAAGAAAATAAACTATAAATACCATGGTATTACAAAGGAACTCAGCTGAATAATTACCAAAAAAATCAACATTCAACGTATGCAGGTTTCAAACGATCAACTGAAATGTTGTCAGACCTTGATTTTATATTTAGTGTGAAAAATTTATCATTCCTCTCAAGCACCTCATAAGGACCGTCGTAGGGTTGTTGAAGCGGTTTCTTCACTGAATCTCTTCTAACAAAAACGTGCGTTGACGTGAACAGATCTGGATGAGTGAAATTTTTTGGTGAATTTTTGTGATGAGTGAAAGTACTCTTGAGCTGATTCATACATAATTTCAATTTTGTAACATATTGAGGTATGTCTTGAGGTGAATGTTCCATATGGGATGAGTTTAGAAAATCTCCAGGTAATCGTAGTGTTGTACCATAAACCAGCTCTGCTGGGGTACACATCGCCGGTTCTTTCAAAGTAGATCGGATACCTAGAAGGATTAAAGGGAGTGCATCAACCCAATTGATTGAATTCCTAGTTGCCATGATCGAAGCTTTTAACTGCCTATGAATGCGCTCTATCATTCCGTTACTGATAGGATGATAGGAAGTCGTTCTTATTTGACGTGTTCCTAAAATATTCATCAGATTTTTCCACAAAAATGACCCGAACTGAGCTCCTCGGTCAGTTGTTATTGAGGAGGGTACTCCGAATCTAGATATCCACGAATGTATAATAGCTCGTGCGATTGTTTCACTACTTGGATCTACTATAGGTATTGCTTCAGGCCACCTTGTGAATTGGTCTATGCACGTCAAAATATACTTATATCCATGAGACACTGGCAACGGTCCGACGATATCGATATGGATTTCGTCGAATCTCGTATCTGGGGGTATGAAATTAACTAATGGTGATGGTGTCTTTGAATTTTAGATTTTTGACAGTGAATACAATGCTTAACATTGTCAAGTTGTCTAGCTATTGTCATCTACCAATATACCCTGTGATCATAATCACAGTTAATACAATTAACTTTACTACAGGTTCCTCATGAATTGATATGTGGATGTAAGGTAGGTAACTCAGAACAGCGGGCGGTAAAGTACACTTTACGGCCCGTGGGCCATAATGAACCCGCGGGCGGTAAAGTGCGATTTAACGCTCGCAAAACCGGGCGGTAAAGTGCACTTTACGGCCTGCTGGTGCATAAAAAATCTTATAGCCATGACTATGACAGCATATGACAGTCGCTATTGATTGAAGTACAATTGCTGCGAATCCCACATCAAAACAGTGGATTCGGGTCAATTATAACAGAAGTGGCTATGCCTTTATTGACTTGTGGTTCATAAAATGACGAAAACTACCTAGAAAAAACACACATTGCGCCTCGAAGTGGAATAAATAATCGTAAGTTCTATAGATAGCGGTGGAAGAACTTCTTGATTCTCACACAGGAGATCGGATTTATACAACCCTCATTGTCGAATGATATCGTTCATCTGAAATTGAAACTCCAAAATGGATTTTTTTCATCGCAAGAGCATGAGTGACCCACTAATTTTATAATAGCGGAACTCGATGAAGAAAATAGCATTTCATGAAATACAGTTCCTTTTATCTATGAAAATGAGTTGGAGTGGTGGAGTATAATTTTTCCTTTAACTCGACGCCCTAAATCTCGGCAACGAATAAGCGTCTCACGACCAGTGTTAATTCTTTTTGAAATAAGTTCCTGCTACCATAAAGTAGATCACCCTTATTATTACTAAACCACTTTCTGATTTTATTATTGACTGTCTTTTTACATCGATGCTGATTCGAAAGTAGGCATTTTCTCTTTTCATTCAAGGAAACAAAGCTGTTAATTCACTCCTCTCATGGGAGGTGAAATATATTGGTTTCAGCATACTTTCTTGGTGTCGATATATATAAATATAAGATCCATGCGATCTGAGTAATCAGTGTTTTCGTCACTATTTCCTTCATAAATTTCAATGATCTTATACATCTCATATTCCAAACGTACCTACTTAATCAAAACTCTCAAATGCAGTTGAGTACACATCATACAAATTCAACAATTCATGATGACAAAAGTGTTAAATTGATAGAAGTATATGATACCACTTGTATCTAAAAACAAATTTCTTGTCATAGTGTATAAATACACTTCTCCAGGAAACTAACGCACCCACAAAAGTTGTCAAAACTACTTGTCGGATTGGGATGTTTTTTGTTTTGAATGACAGCTTATTTTCCTCTGAACATTAGTGTGATAACTTTTATTCGCATCAGAGCCTATTTTTCACAAATTCCGGGTGTATCGATTAGAGCGTGTTTTTTTTTATTAAATTTGTAATACCCTGTGTGCTGAAACCGATTCCGGGTGAATAGCACCACTTCTTCAATGTCTAGTTTGTACATGAGTATATAAATAATAAATATAATATAATATTAATTATAAATATATTAAAAATAGCAATATCCCCTCCCTTTATTTGATTAACCCGCCGAAAATGATGGCAGCGAAATGTCGAAGGTCACCTGTCACCTCGATTCGTCGTCTTCGTGTTATTTTCACTAATCCAGGCGCACCAGAGTTGTGTCACCTGCATAGAAATAGTCATTCAGAGATCAGTTACCCATATGCGAATACGAGGTTACGGTTGATGGCGCGAGCAGTATTTAAAATGATTTAAAGAGGAAGGCATAAAAACAGGATAAACCACACATTTTTTGTAACTTAATGTTTTATTCACGATAATTGTACCTTGTGGCTGAGGTCTTCTTTGCTGATTCAACCTTGATGGAAAATGGTTGGTGCCTCCTAGAGTAAATCTCAAAATTATCCCTCAACTAAATTTATTTTGAACCTTGTTGGTTTTCAACAAGTGGTAGGACATCACGACGTTCACACTTGAGGCCTGGTCAATTCAATTATAGGTAAATTATTTTAGTTATTTATTATACAAGGGAAAAAAGTAGTAGATATTAGCTCCAGGTTGTGTTGTCAACCGACGCGTAGCGGAGGGAGACAACAAACCGTGAGCTAAAATCTAATATTTTTCCCGTGTATAATACACTATTTTTTTCTGTGACAGAAGAAAGGAAGAATCAATATTGAGAAGTTATTACATTATTTTGGAATCTGGAAATTATCGACGTGAAATTTCAAGTTTTTAACAGTAGGGACACCGCGTTATAGGCATCTTTATCATTCATTTGAAGTGACCAAATATCTGATGTCACTTCTGTCAGTCTGACTCTGTGATTTGATTTAAAAAAATTGCGAATTCAGTGGTTGTTTAGTAATATACGTAACCGCGGAGTCGAATGGAAGATAAAAGGACTTGCAGTTCTTTCTCGGAGACGGTATCATTGACTCATTTTTCGGAACTATAGCACAACGAAAGCCATCAACAGTGTTTATATATGTGATATATATCCGGGAAAAAAGTACTCACTTTTTTCCCACGGGAAAAAAGTAATTTATGAAAAGTGACATTTTATAACCTGCCAACAGAGATGAAATGCCAAACTTTTCTCCCGTCACAGAAAAAAAATATTATTGATGATTGTTATCTGCACGTGGCTGCACAATACATAAAAAACCTACATGTTGCATATAGGATCCTGGAATACCATATGGTAAAGTCAATTTCATTATAGTTGTAGCAAAAATTCCCATACCGTCGACGTCCTCAGAATAAAGTTCTTGTGGAAACTTCCCGTTGAGCATCAGTCAGCCAAACCCCCAATAAAATCAACCCTGAGATTAAGAGCTTCTGTGTTCCTGTGTAGTGTAACAGTTACGTTATCAAGTTGAAATTAAAAGTACACTTCAGCCTCATCTTTGTTCAACATCTCTTTTTTGGATTTACTCCATCATCTTTCCTATTCCTCCAGAAACACAATTTCATAGCATAACATGATTTTATTGAATTCACACATATAGTGTAAGGATTTTTGTTGATGCAAAAAAATTCCAGTGCCTAACGTCGCCCGAGTTGTGAGAAATTATCTAGAGGAAGCCTATATCGCTACCATGGCATGGGCAGCTCGGAGCCCGGATTTAAACCCCATTGAGAACCTCTCGGACATTCTCGGGAGAAGATTACGAGAGGAACGTAACTTGAATACTTCGGGAAACGTACGGCAGAGACTGATGATTCAAATTCGGGAAGACTTGGATCAACATGACATTAGGTCTCTTATTTTGGGTTTTGGCTGTCTTTACCAAGAAGCGTTTCATACCCGCGGCGGAAATACTCGTTACTGACCCTTTAGTTCAACTTGTGACTTCGCATTCTTTTCCTTTCTTCCTTAAAATCATGTTACGCTATAAAATGGTGTTTCTCGAGTAATAAGAAAAATAATCGGGTGAATCCAAGAGAGAAATGTTGAACAAAGGTTAGGCTAAAACGTGATTTCAATTCTTACTCGATAGTGTAACATTTACACTGAGCTGAAACCTCTCATCAAAAGCAATTCTGCCGGGATTGGATTTGTTGCTCCTAAAGTAATTCAATATACAAAGTATTTCATTTCCTTATTTCATTTGCCTACTGTTTTCGTTTCATCTAGTGATCCCTATTTTGCTACAATTTATGTGCATCAGTGCATTTATGAATCATGAATTGGTGTAATCGTTGTTATTTGGAAACAACTTGGCAACCTGCAAAGTCGTCCTGTATTGCTGGTTGCATATGCATAGGTTTGTTCAGAAATTTATTATTTCCCTACTAGATTGCTTTTCTCGATTAACTATCAAAGGAAATAGACTGACAAAGTGTCCCCATTAATGAGCCTTCAATTATTAATACAATATCAACATTTATTTGTTAAATCAATGTTTATTGGTGTTTGGTCATTCTAAGTAATAAAATGTATATATATAAAAATTACACTGTTATTCTAGAAAGATAACCTGATTTATGAATGAGGAAATTGCACACGTGGATGTGAAAAAGGAAATAAATTCTTGTAGATACTTCACAACGTCTTCCAAAATCAATTCAGCTATCCCAGCAAACATTGAACTAGCGGGAGAAGTCCGGCCTAGTGCAGGCTAGTCTGGGAAAGTGACGATGCCGGGGTATTGGTAATGGGCCAATGATTTTCCTATGCCAAGTAACCATCAGTTAAAAATACGGTGATGGCCTTGTGATGGTAAGATGTCTGGAACTAATTGAATACTTACGAGATCTGGCCCTTTGCTGGCCAATTTCATGTTCGCTACTCGTCCCCCTGGTGGAAGTTCTGGGAACGTCAACATCAACAATCAGCTGTTCAATATCAAATGTGACTAAGATGGTCGACTCTCGTGAGGGGTGATCGCGTACTAGTTTGTTTATTTCGATGAATTATTGTGCTCCTCTCTTTCCCTGGTGGTTATTTATGATGGCAGGAGTATTCTCAATTGATAATGATAGAAGACAGATTCTCCAATTATGATAATATTGAGTAAGTATCAATCTACCTACATATAGTGTTTCGAATTGAATTATTGAATGCATGTGTTTGGTATCTCGTAACCTCA